TGGAACTATGATATCTTGAAATCATCAGCAAATCTCTCATACAAATAACAGCAGTAAAAATACTTGTTGCTGCCGTCACAATCCGGCCATGAGCCCCTCACCAAGAGATTGCCATTCCCTGTGGCTGAATCAAAATGCTGAATCTGGTCCTGTTCTTAGTTCCTTCCACTGACCAATGCTTTTTCCTCTTGGTTTTTCATGTGCAGATGCAGCTCATACATCTGGCACCAGTGTTACTTGTCATCTCACAGATCAATTGCCATAGTGCTGTGCCACACCTCTCTCACAGTCCACAGAAGTCCTTGGTGAGTCAAGTGCTTTGATATATTTTTCTCCAGAACCTTTCCTGCAGAAAGATCATTGGTTCCAGTCAAACCTTCAGCATCAGTAATCTGGCCACTGAGTTGCTGGATTTCTCAGCCACGCTTATTTTCTTCTTAACACACAGTGAGTTCAGACTTTTGAAGCACGACAAGCTCCTGAACATGGTCTGCTGCCCTGATCTTTACTATCTATTTCCTCTTATTTTAGATCACAGCCAGCCTCCCTAGCTATCTTGCTTCTGGAGCACTTCTTTCTTCTGGAAGGAAGTCTCTCTGTACTTTGCTCAGTCCAAGCCTGTTTTTGTTACCATTACTCATGCCACAATGAATTTAGACCACATAATTTCAGAAACCAGAAAAACACATGAGAGGTGTCCATTCAAAATCGGTGGTACTATGGGCAGAACTTTTCTCATTAAAGAAAGTTAGGTTCAGCTTAGTGACTTTCTGTCATGGCTCATTAGGGAAAATCAGAATTAATATACTTCTATTTGCTCGTTTCCAACTGTGGTGAGTTATGTCCCTGGCACGTAGGCTACATTTCTCTTTAGAAATTCTGCTTAGGTTTGTAGCCCAGATATTTACATTGATTTATTTGTGCCAAGAAAATATCATTCACAATTATTTATGAGTGAAGAAAAGTAGGCAATTAGATCTATAGCACCTGGCGTAACGGGGCCCTTAATCCTTGGAGTGCCTTTTGAATGCAATATTAAAAAACAATACCTAGTTGGAAAAAAAAAAGTGCTTTGTTTTATGACATAGTCTGTTTACACTGAATTATTGAACATATTCTGATGTAGACTTAGTTTGGTATTTTTGAAGTGTTCATATAATGCCAGTTCTCATTTTATAAACTTCATATGCCTGGTCACAGTCTATATGACAGAATAATGCCTTTTTTATATTAAAAAAGTATCACTTTGCATGAGTTGGAAAGCCATAGCCATCTGACATTGGTGGCAGATACTGAGTTCAGATGAGGAGAATGCTCTTTGTTCACTGACACAACAATTAATGGCAAAAGGGAAGATTTCAACTTTTTGTTCTGAGATCTGTGGTTAAGGCTTGTTGTTCAGATTTATGAACTGCAAAGATGTTGGTCTATTTTGCAAGGAGAGGCAGCATTATACTAAAATAAAAGCTGAAACATTTGAAAGAAGCTAAATGACTTAGGAGCCTAAATTTGCATTCTTGCAACTTCTTTGTGTCCTCTTTTTCTGTCCTCTCTGCCCAGAAGAAGAGAGGTTACATCAGCACAGCTGAGTTCAAAGTTCAGCAATTCCCTTTAACGCTGTGCCCCTTTAATATCGTTAATAATCTCTCTATTGGTTGGGTGTCAGCTCTTATGAAAGCATCCCCCTGAATTTAGTTGTGCTACCTCTGCAATTACAGTAACTCCTACTTTGGGGGTTCGTACCTCGAGATTACAAACGAAGGACAAAATATCTGTCCTCCTCCCATGTTTTTTCCATTTAACATTATTGATGGATGTTGCCCATAGGAAACTGCTCAAGATTGAATGCATCTGTGATGCAGATGGAAGAGGCTGCATGTTGCACGAGCCATGCTCTGCACTAGGTGGTGCTCATGGAAACTACAGTCTCCTTCATACTCCAGTAAATTTACTCCCATTATCTTAAAAGTAAGAGGGGTACAAAGATATTTTGAGACATGCAGGATGGAGATTTCTTAGATTGTGAGTGGACTCTTTTGAGGAAGGGATTCTCAAGAAACATGAGGCACATTCTATTGAAAGCGACTTATTTTGACATTCATGTAATCTTTTAGCACAAATACGCCTGCTGTTCCTAAAAGTCTGAAACCCCTTGCAGCAAGGTCTTTATCTCAGCTAGAATTTCTGGTTTTCCAGTGAAAAGATATCACAACCCTCACAAGCACGCAGAACGACAGACTTGCTGTGTCTTCCCTAAAGAAAATTGAAAGAATTTTCAAAAACAGGTATTTTTTCACAAGCACCACTGTAGGTTTACATGTTAGAATCCATGATTTTTCAAGTCTGAATACAGCATCTTTTAAGAACTTTGTTCATCATGTGCAAATGTGGCCACAACCACTCAGAACATCAGACTTGCTATGTCTTACCTAAAGAATATGTGCAAATGTGATTGCATTCAGCTAGTCTTTTAAGTGCATAGTGAGACTTGTAAATAAAAGCACTGCTATTCAGCTATGTGCTAAGCACTCTTCTCTTCCACTGCAATCACTGCAAGCTTAAACGATTATTAATTGTGAAGACAGCTTCTTTAATTTAGGTACCTCGTACAGTTTCCTACAAATATCAGCATCCAGGTTTTAAAACTGGCTGTAACCACCTAGGTCCCTGGAGATGACCCTTCAAGTCTTTAATGATGAGGAAGTGGCTCGAGTTATCTTGATGCTTCCCAGATAATGTGTAGACAGAGAATGTCTGCATTATTCCTTTTCAGTCTGAAATCCACAGATCTACTGCTAGAGAGGAAGCCTGGGAAACAATGACCTCCTTGTCAGTGATGCTGGTTTCAGTTGGGAACAGTCACTTGGCCTGTTTAGTTAATAAGCCCCAGAAACCTCCTGAATTAGAAAGAGCAAATGATCTTAGTTTAGAAGGTCAGAGGGTTAACAATGGAAGGAGCAGTAGTACTCAAGGTTGTTTTCTAAGCAAAGTTTAGCAGTGCAAAACAAAGATGAGGGGAAGATGGATACAAGTTAAAACGCCTATAGCTTACATCTTACTGGACCATGTCTTCTGACATAAACTGATGTATCTTCACTGGAACAGCTCCTTGTGCTGGTAAGGATTACTCCAAACCCTTAGACTTATGACTGTTTTGAGGCAGGCTGATGGAAAACTTTTGATAACACATTTGGAATTCTAAATTGAATTAACAGATGAGATTCCTGTTTCCTGGTTCTAATTTACGTGGAATGCTAATTTCTTTTTTCTTTTTTTCTTTTTTCTTTTTTGTCTGCCAGATGTAGTAAAAAGCTTTTGAATTTAACATATACACAAAGGTCAGAGCACCGGAGTAAAATCTGGGATTGTGCAAATGTTAGGGCCTCTATAGCTTCAGGACATGGCCCTGTTGGGAGTTCAGTCCAGACCTAAATGGAAATATGCTCCTTTGAATTCACTCATTCTTCTTCTGGACAGTCAGATAAAGAATAACATGGTCCTCTATCCCCAGAGACAAAGATCCTTTAAGAGACTCCAATATCTAAGGTAATCCATGCATCAGTTTGGTCCATCTGCCTGACTAAGTCTTAATAGACCTGAGTCTTCTTTAGAGAGGAATTGACGCAGTTTGATTGCTTTTATATTGACAGCTACAGCTTTACTAATACCTTTTGTTAAGCAAAAGAGAACTACAGGGCTTCTGAAAGCCCCTGTGAACATCACCGATTTCTAATGCCATGATAACTTCTTTATGAGAAAACAACTTCTCAGCGTTAGTGATGATGGGGATATTTGCAGTCTAACCACCAAACTTCAACAGTGTCACAAGCTGAAATACATCAAGGCTACATAACGTGCAGAGCACTGCTCTCACTTCCCTATCCTTGCTCAGTTATTTCTGTGGCCACATACGGAAAGAACCTCAACACAGCTCAACAGGGAGGCTGGATTTTCAGAGTTACTTTGTCAGTATCTCTACCTATTTCCTGACTCAAGCGCACATTCAGAGGCTTCCATTTGAAACACCATATGAGTTTTTATTTAAAAAGGGAACAGCAACCTTGTTCCTGAATGTGGTGCACACATGCAGAACCTTACTTGATTTGAAGAAGGCTTGATTTTCTTTCTTAGAGAGTAATCAGACCAGTATGACCCCACCTGGTGAGCCCAGGAGACAGATTGGGGCTTCAGAGCACTCCTGTACATCAGCCTGTGCAAAAAGCTGCCACTCACAGCAGCCTCTGACCCTCTGCTCCACTAGCCTAGTCTTCCTTAGGTTGCCTGTGAGCAGGTAATAATGACTTTACTGCTTAAAGAGATCTTCATAATCTTTTTTGCAGTGAATGTTCTTGTCTGGACAGGAGCATCCCCAAAACATCATTTGAAGCAGTCTGAAATCTCATGAGCATTTCAGCTTGGAATTAGCAGGTATTCTTTCAACTGTTAATGAGAGTGCAGTAGAAAATACAAGACACCACTGAATACATTCGTATTACATTTCACCCTTTGTCATGCTGGAGGTCCATGGTAAATTAATTTGGCAGATAAATTTACGATGGCAATTTGCCTTCCAGTTGTATAATTTATTCATGTCAGAAATAATTTATTATACTCTTCTTTAAGCCATTCTTTTTTTGGGGTACCACCTTAGTAAATAAAATTTATTGTTTACCCTGAGCCTTGTATGGCTTCACAGTGGTCAGTCAATAACCTCAAGGGGATAGTTTTGGTCACATTACTGGTCACTTATTTGGATGGATGATGAAGTGCCCTGGTCCCATCTGTACATATATTACTTTCTTTTGTCTTAGTGACACTGTTGGAGAGATTAATTAGGTCCATCTGCAGGGGAAGATCAGCCTTGGGGGATTCAGGTGAATAAAATAAATGCCAAGGGGAAAAAACTGCTGACAGGGGTGTTTTGGAAATCAAACTGTTTTCCATAGTATAAATGAGGAAATTACATAAAGAAGGGGCTTGAAAGAAAAGTATAACTACCATTTAGTTTGGTTACTTCAGCATGACCTGATACGTATCTGCTGCTGTAGGGTAAGAATCCATGATGAGGGCTGAAGTCCACGGACAGTATTCCCAGCTGTGTAAATCAGAATAGCTTTCAGATCTTAGTGGAGCTACCCTCACTTCATGATGGTACAGATTTGAGTTATTTCTGTCATGGTGATGTTCTCTGCTCTTCATTTGTGTGATCCAAGGTGTGAAGTAAGCTAATCAGAATTCCTATTCCGTCTCCTCTTTTCTTGTTCTAACTATACTTGTTGAGGCTCTTGCACCCCCCATCTATTTTTTTTCCTTTCTCTTGACTTCCTTTATGCTTCTTTTCATATTTTTTCCTTGTCTTTCTTCTCCTTTGAAAATAATAATAACCTAACAACATTGATCTAACATATGATCAGAGCAAAATAGAATCTCACCCCTTACTGACTTGAATATTCTTATTATATGTGTAATTAGTTGGTGTAACTGGTCCATAAGCCATTTGAAATTTATTGCAATTTAAATAATCTCTTTCTGTTGCCATATCAGACTAAGAGAGGACTCGTATACCACGATGCAGTGGGATTACAATCCCAATATTTTCATACAGTGGAAAACTGAAAAGAAAAAAATCTTGTGTGTTTTACTCACTGAAAGTTCACTGTCTTAAGGACCTGGAATGTAAGAGTTGTTCTGCTCTTAAACTTCTGTTGGAGTGAAGTGAGGATCTTTATGAGATTGCAGTTCAACTCCTGCTGACTTTTTAAATGAATTGGTAAACGCAGAAGAATGAGGGAATATTTGTGAAATGGAATGGGAAAACAAACTATATAAAAGAAAGAGAAGGTGCATGCAGGAAGGATAACGTGGAAGAATGTAGGTGATTAATTCAATTACTTCATATATATGAAGAACTTTTGGTGACAATGAAAACATTTGCTCTGGAAATACATGGTCCTGCCTCCAGCCTGTGCTTGCAGCAGTGACCCTGACTCTCAGAGGCACAATTCTGTGCGTGCTTGAATTTTGGGGCCTAATTCTAGAGAGCTGCTGAGCCCAGTCTGTAGCACTAGAAGCAAACTGCTTTATGTGTAATAAGGTGTGAACATGTGCATATTGTCAGACAACACCAGGTAGACACCCAAGAATGTACTGTATAGATGAGTTGGTAACTCACAGTCTTTAGACAAGATCATAAACTAAAAAGAAATGTAGTTTGACTTAGATGTATTTGAGCTCAGTGTGCTGACCTTGCAGAAGAGAGCCTTTGCCACTGCAGGCTCTTGCTCCTTCTAGCTTGCTACACTTTGTAAATGAAGGGTATTCTGAAGGTTCTCTCCTGGCCAGCATGAGGCAGGTCAATGGCCACAGCCCAACATCTTGACAACTGGTCCTACCTCTTAGAAACACCTTCACAGCCAACGTCTCCTGGAATCCTCCTTGTTCAGACCAGCAGTGCAGCAAACAGAGAGCAGTAGTGGAAATTAAGTGGTCCTTTAAAGACCAAAATGCTCCCCTTCAAATCTTCTGGGCCAATATATTTTCTTAGGTAGACATAGATGGTTCCCACTCAGTTTTGCTGCACTTGCTTATTATTATTATTATATCTCTGTCCTGCAGGTGCTGTGTTGCTTCCACTGGGGTCCGCGTGTACTTATTTGTGGGGTTCTGGAAGCAAGCCTGGATGATGGCAGTATGCTTTCAGTGGTGTAACTGGCAAGCTGAAACTGAGGCACTCTGCAGGGGGCTTCAGCACTGCTTTGTGGCAATACACAGATTTGGTGCCGGCTCATTGGGGCTGCAGCTTTTTGTTCGTAAGATTTGAGCCCACCTGCCATGGACATATCATTTCTCTGACTGCTTTCCAATATTATTTTTCCTGGTATTTTTGGTATTACTATTACTGGCAATTGTGAGTCTCGTGTGTTTTTGGTTTTTGTTTATTGCATTTCTTTTTTTGGGGTGGGTGTGTTTAATTTTGTTTTAATTTTGAGGTGACTGGAAATCTTTAAACAAATTATTTCAGATAGAGAATCTCATTTACTACGAAACAAGAAATGTTTTGTGACTGGATTTGGTTTGTTTGGTTTGTTTTTTTTTTTTTTTTCCTAGAGGAAACTGATATTGAAAACAGATATTTCCCATCAAAATTTTCATTTCTTGGAATAAAATACATTTTCCATCAGAATATGTCAGATGCAGAGCTGTGCCAGGTCTCCAGGGTGTCCTGAAAAGAAAGAGGAAAAAATTCAGTAGAAAAAGAATAACTGCCAACAGAGAAATATTTGGTTCTGCCCTACAGTTCTGCTGTACTGGAGAAAAGCTTTTCCTGGGGTGGAAAATGAGAGCAAATTTCACTCTATAGAAACTGCAGAACCCTTCCTGCCAGATGGCTGCAGTAAGTCCCGGATCTGCACATTTTCCAGGGGTGAACATGTTTTAGACATACCTCAAGGAACCAGCTCGTCGTTTCACAGGGCGAGTGAAACAAGTGATGAATGGCTGCGCATGTAGCATGGAGCCAGCTCAGCAAAGGGCTTCCTATCATTAAAATACATCTGCCTCTGTTCTGAGCGGGACATCACAGCCCTCCAAATCTTGGAGTGTTTCCTTATGCACAATAGCAGCAGAACTAGTCCATGTGTCTCAACCCATCAAATCCTGTTCCTCTTAATCATATGGATTAAATCAGCTAGAGTGAGGAACATCAGTCCAGCACCTCTGGCCTGAAACTGGGGGGTTCCAAGCAGTGGAACCGATCATGAAAATGCAGCGAGGTGCAGATGGGTGCTCACAGCTGCAGATGCTGATGTTTATTTACAACAGCGGGACGAGGCTTGGTGTGCTTCTCCATGAACCGCTATGACCAGGACGGGCCCTGCTCCTCGGGATGCAGGTGCAACGCCTGGCAGCCCCTCGGCTCTATCCTCTACCTGCAGCCGAGCGATGTAGGAGCGTGGCTGTGACTACAGAAGCATACGGGCTTTGCACGTGCCGCTGTCCCTTGCCCTGCTCCGGCTCGGATCGGTGCGGGCACGGCTCTAGCCGCCCGCCCCGCGCAGGGCCGTGCCCCCCCCAGCAGCCCTTTGGTGGAACCGTCCGCGTTAGCGGTTCTGGGGACGCGCTCACCCCGGGTTCCAGAGCTGACACGGGTGTGCCCGGACAGCTCGGCACAGGGTGTGATGGTGTGCTTCCGCGCCTCGGCCCAGCGAGGCTGTGAGCGATGCACCCTGAGCCCCCAGACTCCTCTCCCATTTGCGTCGCTCTCCGTTTTCCCCCGGCTGCCTCTGTGCTCTGTCATCGAGTCCTTGGCGCCCAGCGGCTGGTCGAGTGGCAATCGGGCGGCCCCAGGAGGTCTGCTGTACAGGGATGGATGGATGGATGGATGGATGGATGGATGGATGGATGGATGGATGGATGGATGGATGGATGGATGGGGGGCTGCGAGGACGGACAGACGGAAGGCTGGGAGGGGGGACGGCAGCCTGGCGGCGTGCGCCGCTCCCGGGGGAAGGGCTGGGGGCCGGCTGGGGGCCGGTGGGTGTGACCCGCGCTCCCCTCCGCAGCCGCGGTCCGCCCCGCTCACACGGTGCCCGAGCCGCAGAGCAAGCAGCAGCGTCGCGTCCTCGCCGCCCGCCCCGCCATGCCCAACTTCGCCGGCACCTGGAAGATGAGGAGCAGCGAGAATTTCGACGAGCTCCTTAAAGCGCTGGGTGAGCTCGGGGCTGGCGGGCGGGCTGGGGCGACGAAGCGATGGAAGGGAACCGGGTGGCCGGAGCAGTGCGGTGCCCGGTGCCGCCCGGGAAGGCTCGGGGCTGCGGCGCGGGGAAGGCTGCGAGCCCTGCCCGGGGATCGCGGGGCGGTCTCACCTGCGAGAGCCGGCGGCCCTGCCCGGGGATCTGCCGCACCGCTCTGCCCGGAGCCGCGGCTTCTCCGTGCGGGGCTGAGGGGCTGCGGAGCTGCCTTTCGGCCCCCCGCCCCGAGCCGGACCGGTGCTGGGCGAGCTGGCGAACTCAAGCTGTGCTTCCTCCCCGCTTCGCCTAGGTGTCAACGCCATGCTCAGGAAGGTGGCGGTGGCGGCCGCCTCCAAACCCCACGTGGAGATCCGCCAGGACGGGGACCAGTTCTACATCAAAACTTCCACCACTGTCCGCACCACGGAGATCAACTTCAAAATCGGGGAGAGCTTCGAGGAGGAGACGGTGGATGGCCGAAAATGCAGGGTAAGAAGAGAGCTGTGTGTACGGTATCTGTGTGTGTGTGTGTGTGTGTGTGAACGCTGAGAGGTGCAGACCTGCTGCCCCGGCCGCGAGAGCCACTGTGTCTGCCCAGCTTCCGTACCAAACTCCTCTTAAATAGGATTAATGCATCTGCTGTCCTCCACCTTCTTCCTCCTAGAAACGCTGAGGGGGCATCTTGGTGATTGCAGCTCACCTCACCTAACATTCTCTGGCATGCAGGACAGAGCAAAGCTGAAATCTGAAGGTAACGGAGCATGACAGGTGTTGAGGGCATAGCTGAGTATCTGCTTGCCAGCTCCCTGCCTGTCAGGGCTTTGTCCAGCTCTCTTTACCTCCATCTCTCTTAAAGACCTCACCCACAGTGAAGGCTCTTCCTGGTCCCCCTCCTCAGTGTGGACATGGGGAGCACTGGAGTGAGAGACTCCTCAAGAGTCAGGATTTAGTGCACAAATGTGGCATAACCATTTTCCAAAAATCAGTTGGACAACTTCACAAACGGTTCACATTGGTTATTTGGGGCTGAAATTATCTGTCATTCCTTTGCAAATTCATGTTTTCAGATTGCTGGTTGGGTAAATCTTTAGCAATGTAGGACAGACTTCCAGACAGTCACACCAGCCACAGTTACAGCGTCTCCTTATACAGAAGTGCATCAGAGGGAGTGTTTAGGGTTTGATTGTCTGTGTAAGCCCCTGCTCCTCTCCCCTTTGTAAGCCTCTTCAATGGCTGTGGAGGGGATATCATATTGTTAAGTCAGCAGGATCTGATCCTGGCTTCTTGCTGATGTAGGTACGTGGGATCGAGGGTACTGGAGAACTGGGCTCTGATGAGTGTTGTCTTTCAAAAAAAGTTAACAATGATGAGTATGTAATCCTTTACCCAAGTACTTGACTCACTGACATTTATAAGATTGCCTCAGAAAGGTGTGTGAGTAAAGAGCAGAAATGTCCCAAATAAAGAGTATGGTTTTTATGATAGCCTGTGGTGGTGCAGCAGCCTATTAGCTAAGCTATCATCTCTGCTGATTCTTGGGCCAGCTTCTGAGACTGTTTGAACAATTAAAAAATCAGAGTAAACTTAATATCTTCAGTGCAATTGTTGTGAATTTGAAGTTTTGACGAAGAGAGGCAGACATTGGAAGATGGTGAATTCTTAAATCAACCCCCTTCATCTCCAGGGTGAGTTATCATATATTTAACAGTTTGTTCAGGAAATGTTGCTGGCTGTTAATTTGTCTTGCTCAGCAAAAGTAGTTTTTTTCATGTATAATTCATACACAATAAATGTGACCTGCTTTCTAGAGGAGGATTTATTGCTGCAGATGGAAAAACAGTAATTATGGCTGTAAGCTTTGCAGGTTAGAAAAGTCTGAAAGAAATGTGTTTTGTGAAGTAGTAAATTTTTTCCATGTGTTGTGAAATTATTTATAGTCCAGACTCAGGAATTAGTTGTACTGTTGGATTTATATGGCCAAGATGTGGCCATGGAGCAGAAATTGACAAATAATAAAATGATACTTTGGAATATAATTTGCGATACCTGGAAAAACTAACTGCTAACTGGTGATAGGCTGTGATACACTTCATGGGCTGGAGGGTTTTGTTCTGCCAACTAACTTGATCCATTGTTCATAAAACAAAGAGGAGTCCAGTGCAGTTCACTGAAAGGCATAGCTTCTATAACTGCCACTTGAGGAGGCTTGTTGGCTTAAAAACCTACTGGTTTGGAATAAATATATAAGGTGAACAGCTAATTTTAGATCAAAGGAAGGGGTTTTTTTAATGTTTTCCCCCTCAGAACGTCTGGGAAGTGTTAACTCCATTTTATGCATACATATGTGCACACATGTTTGTATATAATCATGGACTAATGAACGTCTCCCATGTGCTAGTTGTAAAGCAATTACTCACACATTCATTAAGGGCATCCTTCTGCACAGCTGTTCCATTGCCCCACAGAATAATAGTTCAGTGCTAGAATGAAAAGCAACAGAAAGTCAGGGCTTGCCTATTTGTGAAAGCTAAACAAAACCCTATATTTTCTTAACTTGTTTTTCTGTGGCTTCATAATCATTATTCAGATGCTTTGAAAAACACCCGAGGGTATTTTCAATCAGCAGACCTAGAGCCTTAAAAAAGAAATACCACAAACACTGGAATTCTAACCAAGTTCCTGTAATGGAGCTGTAGCTGTGATTTATCCTGGGTCGTTAGTGCAATATCTGCTTAACATACAGTTAACTTGGCTCGGTGCCACACAGCACGGAAGGTTATAATGGGAAAGGCTGCATTATTTATCACCACAAAATGATACACAGTCCTCTTGATGCTTTTACTCTAAGGGGACTTCGTAGGGACAAGTAATATGTCACATCAAACCAGTGTGCCAAGGTATTTGGCAATGTGGGCTCTGTATTATCATGTTTCTAAACAGTGGTTTTCAACATCAAGCAATTCAGGAGAACGGCTTTTGAGTTTGGAAACAAGTGCTGATTTACACTGAAAAGACACATCTACAATTACTTTGCTATTATACACTTATTACAATAAAACCTTACAACTTAATTTTGATTTCATCACTTTCCTCTGGTCCGTTTCCCTTTGCCTTTATCTGTGTTCTACTCCTTTACAGCAGTTATTCTCACTACTGCTCATTGTTGCCTCTCTGCTTCATGCTGCTGGAGAATATAATTAATGCTATTCCTAATGGTTTTCTTGCCTGCAGAGTTTGGCCACTTGGGAGAATGAAAACAAGATCTATTGCAAACAAACTCTTATTGAGGGAGATGGTCCTAAAACATACTGGACTCGAGAATTAGCTAATGATGAGCTGATTTTGGTAAGAACCTCTAACCCAACCATTGCGTGCACCATGTTAACAGCTTTTTGTTGCTATGTAGCATGGCTTACTCCTTTTCTTAAATCTATCTGGAAAAACTGCCATTTTCATAATTCTCTGCAGTACAATTCACACATCAAATCTTTCCCTTTCTTTTTTGTATTTTTTTTTTCTTTAAGAAAAAATGCAAATTTATGCAGGTTCTCACTTGCATTTTATTGCTGTATCTTTCACCATGTTTTCACTGCTAGAATAATCATAAGTGGGCCACTCCTGCTCTCTACGTCCACAGTAACACCAAAGAATTTGTTTGATTTATTGCAGATTTTCTCTGGTGAGAGAGAGATCAAAGCATTTGACCTCATTTCTGGAGAACCTTCTTTTTATAAGCATGTGTTTAATGTGATGCTTCTCATACACAGGCACATGGTGTATAGGAGACGTGGCATGTTGTTGGTATGCTCTAATCTCATTCCACTCATGAAGAACCACAATTCCTTCCCAATCTCTGCCACAACCCCCTACTCCTTGACCATCTCTCAATCCAGTTCAGAGCTGCCCCGTGAGTTTGCTGCAGATATGCACGTTTGCACATTTGCTGTCAGCCAACATCCCCCCACTCCTTTGTGACCTTCCATATGGCAGCAGGGTTACTTCAAGCATTTGCAGTAGCACCTCTGCAACTGCCTCTCCATTCATGCCATGAATCATGAGCAGTTTCTTTATTTATATTGTACTTCTGTTAGAGTTGAGTTTGCTCTAATGTATATTTCCCTAGGAATCCATCCACATTCATTAATTAAATGACATCCAGAACTGAATATAGACACCATTTTTCAGAGTTACATGTAACACAGTTCAGCTCAAGTTCAGAATCTTTTATTTTGCATGTTCTTTCAAGTGAATTCTGGATAAATCAGTTGGCTGAGCTGTTGTGCCTCATTGGTTTGGGCATGGAAGAGATGCTGCTGGAGCAACAAGTAAAAAAACATCAAACAGGGAGTTTTTATTTCAGACTATCAGACTAATTAAACTCCTGCAATTTAAAAAACAAACAGCCTCCCAAACGCTTCTCTAAAGCAGTTGGAGCTCTGTTTTTAATAGTGCATATGAAACAAAAACAGGACCCAAACCTAGCCAAGTATAAATAGAAAGCTTTTAAAGTATTACTGTTAGCCCCAACTTCTTGGAACTGTTTATCCACCCCTTATGAGAAAGAGTGTGCTGCTGGTAACGAAGTGGAACTGGTTTTTGCTGAAAGAATACTGTAATTCTGGATCATTTATTTTGAATTAATCACTGACATTCTTTATATCATCCCAAAGTTAAGGAGGCAAAGTACTTTGATTTCTGCTTCATCTTTATCGTACGAATAAAATGAATTCTCAACTTTAATTTTTCCAGCTTTCTAATACATTTTTGTAGTTTATTACTTAACAATAAACTGTGGGGCAGCTGTTAAGGAAAGTTCAAGCAAAAAAAGCAGTTCAAAGCAAAGCAGGAAAGGCAATCAGAACACATTTCCCTCCAGGAGTCAGCAACACGAACGTACCCAGCTGGGGTAGAAGGGTGAGGCTGGTTGAGAAAGCAGAGCAGTACAAAGATTCCAAAGCCATCTAGCTTTTTTTTTTTTCCTCCTGCATAATCCATCTGTTGAGCTTTTCTGAATTAATTCTTTTCCAGATTAGGATGTGCATTAGAAAAAAAACTCCTCCTTATTAGTATTTTCAGTTATAGGACCGCTAACAACTTCTGAGAAGTGATTTTGACTGGTTCTCTTCATTGCCACTGAAATGTACGCATTCTTTCTAATCTGTATGTGTCTATATTCAACTTTCTGCCATTGTGTATTATGTACATTGAAGAATCTAAACAACATTCCTAACATTTATTTTTGCAAATACTGATGAAGCCACCTCCTAGAAGAACCTTCCTTTTGCTAGGCAAAATCCCTCGAGCCCTTCAACATCAAACAAGTTATTTTTGAATCATTCTTTCAGTGCTTCTATAAGCCCTTCTAATTTATTTCCTTTCTAACCTATGGATGCCAGAATCACACATGCTGTTCTGCTATCAGTCATACCAGCACCTGATGCAGTAACAACTTCATCTCCCCGCTCTTACCTGAAGACTTTCTTAATTAGCTTTTGGAAACTCATGTTCTGCTGATCATGATCCCAGGTAATTTTCCTGGCTTTTGATTCCCTGGACTGATCCCTTTCTCCTTGCCTGCAAACTGGGATTATGTTTTGGTAGGATTTTACTGTGGCCATTGTGAAAACATAGTATTTGCTTCCAAGTGGTCGAGATCATCCCCCCTGTTTTTCACTATTTAATACGGTATGCAGTTCCAGTCTTCTGCCTCCTTTCTGAAGCATAATGGCCTATTTTGCTTTGTTAAATATTAAGCCAATGCTTGGTCCTCAAGACATAAAATTTCAAGTCCCTTAGCATCCAAACCTTTTAAACATATGAGTCAGGATGTTCAAAATGTTCTGACACCCTGAAGCTCAGTACTGAGGTGTTCCAAAGAGTAATTGTAGTGAGTGTGACGTCTCTGCTTTGTTTGGAGAAGTTAAGTTCGCCAAGGTGAATCCATGTGGGAGGCTTTGTGTTTGAAGGAGGGCAGAAGGGAGTAAAGGAAGCTCGAGTTCTCTTTCCTGTAGCCCCTAATTTTAGAAGCCTGGAATGTTCCATCTAGATCATTCTCTTTAAAGGCTAAACTACTCAAAGGGTTTGCATGAGGTGCACCTCTTGACTCTGATGGGGAGCAAAGTAGGAATAGGAGCTCTTAGTGGGAAATTTGGGGATCCCTTTCAAGCTTTTGCTTCTCAACTGTGTTTGCATTCATCATCTCTCCAGGCTTTAACTTAGATTATTTTATCTCATGCTTAAAAATCCTCCTTGTGTATGAGTCTATGGACTCGTGTGTCTTGCTTCTTCCAAACTGATATCACAATGGGATGTCATTGTCTTCCCCTCCCCTTTCTCCCTTGATCATCCCAGCTATTTTAGGGATCCTTAGGGCCCAAAATTCACTCTCATGTAGTTTTGCTCCCTGCATCAATTCAAAAGACCCTGTGATGTAGCAGTTTAAGAACTCTGTAAAGCTGATACTTTTCACACCCTCTGCTCCTGCTTCTCCAGCCAAAGAATTCTTTCAACAAGTCATCATTCTCCTTCCTAGCTATTAATGCATTTGCAGAAGAAATCAATAAAACTCATCTTCTGTGTGCAAAAAGTTGCAGTAAGGAATCTAAACTGTGTTAGACTTCTCAGGCATTAATGGAAAATAGGCTTGAGGCAATAGGTAAGGAGTGAGGAATGGGTTTCACTCTGCTAATAGTAGCTGCATAAATCTTGGTGCTTTGGTGCATAATTTTTAATCTAATGTGCTACATGGCTTAGGGGGATCATTAGATTATGACATTTTCCAAGTGGATGTGCTTTTCTTTCCAACGCAGCATGTTCAGTAAAATGCATTTATTATCACATATTAAAAAACAAACAAACTAATCATTGTTGAATTGTTATGACTATCATAGATCTAAAACAGAAACCTTATTACTATGTAATTACCAGTCTTTTCTGGATCTTGTCAGAAGATTTTTCTTGTGTTCTTCAAAGATATTCCCCTGAAGCAGTACGGTGGTCTTTCATGGCACATGATGCCCTCTGATACATGATGCTGGGAGCAAACTATTCAGTTAGCAGAAGTTTCCTTTAATTTCAGGTGCCAGTTATGTTCATCTTTACTTCTGAACTGCTTGCAGAATGGGGAATGAGATGACTCTTATTAGTAGCATAAATAATATTTGGTTTGTATTATGGGAGGTGTAGATCTAAAGTCCCACTGGAAGAGTCCTTTTAGCAGAGTGAGGGATTTATGACCAAGCCCTGCTTTATAAAAAAGGTGCTGCAAATGTACAAAACATTCCAACTGCTTTCATCAGTGATGTTAATGATAATTTCATCTGATGCACATGCCAGGATGGCAGTGCTGCATTTTTAGAAGTAGCAAATAATCCAGGTTAAAAAAGGAATATTCAGGCAAAGGAGGATGATAAGGATCAAAGTCCAGATTTGCTTGTTGTGACTGTGTCATATTATTGGGCGTCAGGTCTATAAAGCAGAGGTATCCTTGTTTACCACTCAGCTCAGAAGCAACTTGAATTAGCACTTGGGCAATCAAGACTGGAATCTCACACAAAAGTATGTATTTCATTTGCCTGTCTGAAAAGTAAGATCTGGGATTTAGGCTATTCTAACATCTTTTTCCCTCCCTTTTCCTTTATAGTCATTAATATTTTTGCTCTTGCTGTGTGTTTTAATCAAGGACACTAATGAGCTATCAATCACTTGTGTAAGTCAGAACAAAAGGTCTGCTCTTACAAGCTTAAAGGATGCTGCTTCTGAATGCTAGCTGCTCAAATGAGAAACATTTCTATATTTTTACTCTATCTGCCTCAGTGCTTTCATAGCTGCTCATGCCTCTGTAGATTTTAATTTAACCTATAACAAACATTTTAAGTGGGTGGTTACTGAAGAGGATCTTTAAAAACAGCCTTAGACCACATTTGACACAGTTCATGTATCACACAGGGGTTCTCAGAATCAATTATAGCAAGGGTCAAAGATCAGCACATTAGGGGGAGTTCAAGCATGGTTTGTGTTCTCCTTTTCCTTCCCAGAAAAGTCACGACATGGTTGATTAAAACTGGTGAACTATGGAGTTTAGATGAGTGAGTGAACATTATTAAATGATGTTGCTGGATTCTAAAGTTAAACATAGCAGGTGAGAAGTGCAGATTGGGAAATATATTTTTCAGCTGAATGGTGAGATTTGTGATGTGCCTAAGCCTTGTATCAAACAATGTTCAACTCCCTAAGTAGTTTAAGCTGTTTTTTATAGTTCTGGAAGAATGATCTTAAACACAATCAGTTATCAAAAGGAGGGACACCTCATGGAGGTCACTGGGGGTTTTTGCTGCTGACCTCGCTAAAAGCAGCCTTGATAAAAGTTCTGAGACCTGTGATCGTGCACACATATGTGTTGCATTTACCTAGTGCTTCACTTTAGTATTTACCCTGAGGAGATTTAAAAGGGGAACTTGTAGACCTGCAGCCCTTGCTGACCACTACAGCTTGATCTGAGGCATGTCCCAAAAGCAGAGAAAGAAGCCAAAGCCTTCTATATGGTGGATGCATCTGACCCTGTGGATAGCTCATATAATATCAGCTGCAGCTTCGATGGTTGCTGGGAACTGGCTTAAAAGACTATGTTCTTATCTCTGCCATTCATTTGCTGCACTACTCCGAGGCAGCTGTATAATACAGCAGTTCTCAAATACAGATACCTTGATGCATGACCTGATTTTGCATAGTCTTGTCCTGCAGAAAAGTGAAGTTGTATGTTGGATAAGCTTGTTAGTAGCATCCGAGTTTGAAAATGAGGGCTGCATCTTCTGTGACTGTTCCCAAAACAATCAATCTCCTTGAAAGACTATGGCACTCAAGAGGAGAAAGGAAATATACGATATGGCTTTCTTGTGAAGGTTTATATTTTTATGCTGCATAACGTTAGTTTGTCATCATGGATGAAGTGTCATCATCTAGTGATTTATAGATACCTTCATCTTGTTAGGGAGTGTTGCCTCTGTGAGTGTACACACATTAGTCTGCACGTGCAAAGCCTTTTCTGGGAATGGAAAGTGCTGTTCACTCATGTAGCATCTTCTCCATTTATTTACTGATGTATTCCCTCTCTGTTTGTAAGAGGTGGCTCTGCAGATTGGTCAGTCATGAGCAGAGAAGGGGATTTTTGCACACACCCAGGCAGAAGTGATCTTTCCCAGGCGATTGCTTCAGTGACAGTTTTCCTGGTGGTACTGTCTGCTCCACGTATCACAAAGGTTCCACAAGAAATGTTTGAAAAGAAGGCCTTTACAAAGCAGATGGACTCATACAATAATATATACTGCCCTGGAATTTTCAGTTAGTCTCTAATGATGTCAGCACTCATGAAATCTCGAGTGAACTGGAACAGATGAATCTGTTGGATTATCTCCTTGTGCAGCACTTTCTTTGTGGTGCCCTTTTGGACTCTTAGTCACAAATTATGACAAGCTAAGTGAAGAAAACTCTTCTGTAATTTACAATCCTCTGTAAATTGCACATTTAAAATCCTGTTTTAGATTTAGATAGAAGCCTTGTAGCATTTTGTAAGATTAGTGGGTTCTTTGCAATCTGATGGGAGTGCGGTGTTTGAAAATCCTGCATCTTCTCATTAGTTTGGAGTTTAGCTTGGTAGTGCTGCACTCCTTTGAGCTGATCTGATGAAATTTCACCACCAATTAGCCAGGATTACCCTCTCTGCTTATCATATGAAGTTCTGATCTTTTCAGTCATGGAAGTCCGTAAAGTCTGCTTGTTCTGACAGGAGCTAGTGCTTCATTCCACTCTAGAGTTGGACACATAAGTACTAAGCTTACCCCTGATAGAAGGATGTAAGAGTGAAGGATGTAAGAATAACAGCCTTTTGTTTCAGATCTTCCCCTGCACTTGGGCCCAGCTGTTCATTAGACTTTTCTGTGATTAACCACAAGAAAAGGAATGCAGCAAGTTTGAATGTGTTCCTCTTTGCATGGCTTAGCAACATGGAGTTTTATCAACAATGCTTGCAAGTTACATTAAGAGAGGGAAACTCCTTTTACATTTAAACCACGTACATAACAAAGACAATCACAACCATTTCTTTATGCACTCCAGCATGGAAATAAGAGCAGTGAGGACCCAAACTTCACTATGCTTAGCAGTGCCTGATTGTAGCACAGGAAGGCAATGACTGCCAGTGACTTTCTAGTCTACACAAAATCTCAAGCTCTGTATGGTCTTGATTCTGACCGCCTGTCTCCAGGAAAGCTCCTGCTAAAGTAATTGCACGTTTGTGTATAATTTTGGAGCTGCCAGAGGAAGCCAAGGTGAGGGTGTTTGCAGCTGCTGCTGTGGGCATGAGGGCACTGCTGCATCCTTTAGTGTTCGTTTTCAGACATTTTCATGTAGAAGTTAAAAATGTATATGAAGATTAATATGATCAGCTCTTTTTACGCATGGAAACAAAGCCTGCATCTTTGTTATTTCTCTCCATCCAAAATACTACAAGGCTTTTTTCCTCAGTAAAGTGAATAAAATATGTGCCAGAGGCAGTTTCCAAGCCAAATCCTTGTGAAGAAATATTGGCCAAAGCAAGCATAGGGAGCATAAAAACAAATAATGTCCAGCTGAATTTTCATAACACTCTGGGGTAGGTCTTAATTATATTTTTCAGTGAGACATTGGCAGTTCTTACAGCCAAGCATCCCATCTCGCAGCTTGTTAGCAGTGAGCTTGGAGCTGGCGATGTCAGTGTAGCTGAGCATGCAGTGTGCTTCTAGCTCTTTTGCAGGCAGTATTTCCTCATTCTTGGACGCTTATTTCCTTTATGTTTAATTGCTTGCTTTGATTTTAGCCTAAAGACATAAAGTTACACAAAATGATCTTGTGTTTAGGTGGCTTTCTGAGGCAGCTGCCACAATCTCTGTCGTGCCTAAATGTCCTAATAATCCGTACTGCAATATGGCTGCTGTAGAATTGTCTTCTAAGTGCAGTACTGCAGAATGAAAAAAAAACAACACAGGCTTTCAGATGCATATCTAAAACTCTGTTCCTGTTCATACTGCATGGCACAGTACCAACTCTAGTAAGTGGAAAATCCAAGTATGCTGAGGCACTGAATCTGCCGTGAGAAACAGGATGATCAGAGAATCAGCAAATATCCCAAGTTGGAAGGGACCCATAAGGATCACTGGGTCCAACTCCTGGCTCCTCACAGGACCACTCAAAAATCAGTCCATGTGTCTGACAGCATTAAACAAAAATCCATTAAATCCTGAATTCTGGCAAGCTGGGTGCCATGACTGCTGCCCTGGGCAGCCTGCTCAGTGCCTGACTGTCCTGTTCCTGATCCCCAACCTGACCCTCCCCTGTTGCAGCTTTATGCCGTTCCCTTGGGTTCTGTTGCTGGTCACTGAAGAGAGTAAATTAGCCCCTGCTCCAATGGTAATGACACACAGTCTGTGTTAAGTCAACAATTCTCAGATGTGCAGTGATCAAGCATTTGTGAGATTTCACAGTTTTTGTCACGTGAAATGAGTTCCATCTCCACTACATTTTTGTCCATTATATGCCCTCATTTCAGACCCCTACCTAGCTAACTAATTCACTGGTTAGATCAGTGTATCCTGGAAGGAGGCTGTGATTGACGCAGCCCACGTTACATCTTGGGAGAGAAGGTTCCAGTAGCCAAGCATGGTGTGCCAACATCTTGCAGCAGCATTATGCTCGCAGGTTGTTCTCATACACTCACCAATGTTGCTTCAGTGGCTTCATTTGAACTACTCTGATTTACACCTGCAGATATCAAAGAATACCTTTCTAACATGCCATCCAGTCTGACTGCACCCCCAGCATTTCCAGTTCAAAGTGTTGCAATTGTTTCTAACTATAACAGCAGTGCATTCCAAATTCCTTTTCTTTTCTCATGTTTATTTATAAATGCATGCCAAGAAACTATAGAAGGAGGGAATTTCTGAGTCATTTATCATTCTGACAAAATTCATGGTGCCTGGGAAAAGAGGTCACCTGCAGTGCACTTCTTGTCCAAAATGATTCCTTTCTTCAGTTTCATCTGTCAAAAGACATAGGAAATTGTATTTCTGCTGTAGATCTACTGTAGTAAAAGTAACTTTAAAAATGATGTTAAGTGTTTACTGGTTCCATTTGTTCTGATTGATTTCTTTTTCTTTTCCAGACCTTTGGTGCTGATGATGTTGTGTGCACAAGAATTTATGTAAGAGAGTAAAAACATCCATTTACTTGTCACCTGGGATGAAGTGGAGAGCTGTGGAAAGCCCCAGTAGAATGAGTATTTGTGTGTGCTGTTACTGATGCGGTGTTGTATGTGACCGTGTGTGTTCTATCTGAATCTGTATCCTGTTAAGTGTATTTTACTTTATTTTTCATCACAGATGTTACTCCTTTCTCACTTTTATGCGGTCATTTTTTTGCGTCTGCTTTGTATTCTGTAGTTGTCATTTGCAATGGTTTTACCAATTATTAAACTTATTGGGCATAACTCACAGCTGTTTTGGGGTGTTTTTAATAGCAAATTCAGCAGTGCTTTGATTAGGATTGAAGCGCTTCTTCACCTCTGTGGAAGTCAGTGTGGAATTTCAGTGCTGTTGGCCAGACTTTTGCAAGATGAAGGTTGCTTTCTCAAACCCAGACGCCTGCTTCTTTCCTTCTTCTGACCTGTCACTGTGCAAGGGGCATCCAGGAACAAGTCCTGTGAGCACTGGGGCTGTGATTTGGCAGAATGAGACAAGACCAGGAGAGCTCTTTGCTCTTTCTAGTTGCATCTCTGAAGGACGATCAAGGGGAGAAACTGTTTTTACTTTGAACTGGCAGAGGTTTGCTTTCCTTGTAGAAATTCTCGCTAAGCAAGTACAAAGCACAGCTGTATTTACAGGACAAATAATGCTGTGATCAAAACTATTGCTTACTGTCATCACACCCAAACGCATCAGACCTGATCAGAGAGCCAGGAGAATCTGGTAGACTTTATTCATGTTGGTCGTAAAAAAATATGAAGCTGGGGAAAGCTGCTTTTCTCCTGTCTTCTCACCTGTGACAAGGAAGACATTACTCTGATGGACCAGGAACTCTCCTGTTCTTCAGTGTTTGAATATCTACAACTAGACAGTAGGAGCACTACTGATTGCAGTGCACTCTCCAAGCTTATCTGACCAATTTTCAACTTTGCAAAAATCATTTCTCTGCTTCACATCATTCAACCATAGCAAACTGTGAAATAGCTCAGAGGTAGCACAGTGTATGTCCCATCTGCTGAACTGCTAGATCCAAATCTCGATTGTCTTGGGACATTTATGGCAAACAAATGACTTTGCCTCTTCATGACTCACTGTGCAGAGGAATCCCCTCAATAGGATTCATCAGTTGCTGTGGAGAAAAGAGCTACCTGTTCTGTGTATCACATTGTGAGCTATAGCAGCACAACAGGAGACAAACAGAGGATGTTTTCTGTCTCCTCTGCTCTCCGACAGGTCACACCTTTATCTAGGATGAGCATGCAGTATATGATATTGCAGCTGAAAAGGAGGATCTCTTCCTTCCACACTTCAACGTTCAGTCAAACCCTATTTCCAAGATCTTGTCTCATTTGGTGCCAATTAAAAGCACTGCATGACAGCTTGCACTGAAGCACGAAATGAAATTAGATTCACTTTGTTTTGGAATTAGGCGCTGCTACCCACTGATGAGAATGAAATTCTAAGGGGAATGGCAGTGATATATCTTTAATTTCTATCTTTGAAGAGTCACATTATTATCCCCTCCCTCCCCTCCCAAAATATCAGTGTCAGGAGTATCTGGACCTGTTTGTGCAATCAGCTGCGCCAAAGGGACTCCATAAAAAGCGCCAGGCAGAACTAGCTCAAACCTTCTCAGTGATGTGAACAAAACTGTTTATTGCCACATCAAGGCTCAGAAGAAAGGAGCTTTGTCTTGTAAAACATGCTGGCTCATGCCGTACCCTTGCAGCAGCAGCAGGAGCCCACCAACACTGCTGGATGTTTTACTTCCAACTCCTGACTCTGGGGAGAGTCAGAAGGTGGTTGGTGGGTGTGGGGACCAATTCAAGCACAGGGAGCAAGTAGCAGACTCAACGCTGGTGGGTAACACAACTGTTTTGCCATTCACAGAATCACAGAAACACAGAATGGCCAGGGTTGGAAGGGACCTCAAGGATCATGAATCTCCAACCCCCTGCCACATGCAGGGCCACCAACCTCCCCATTTCATACTAGACATTCCAGAAAATCGCTGCTCTTGACAATTAGCTTTTCTGCCCTGGCAAATGGTCTGTGAGGATTTAGGAAGGTATTGGTATCAACCTCACTGGTTGTCTAGAGCAAGTGAGTGCACTTAATGGAAGCAGTGATGTTTATGTTTCATTTCTAGGAAGAATTGTGCAAAGCTGTCATGCTGCTCCAGCAAATATCCTTCAGAAAACTTTCCCATCAACTGGAAAATACCAAGTTAGGTTTCTATCCAGTTGGCAACTGCTGTTCAAGTAGTAAAGCATGAGCTGTGAATCTGGGTTGTAGAGATTATGATTGAAAACAGACTCTTGAGATATGAGCTACTCAGCATAACTGAGAATTTTCTCCTTCCAGGATTTAAACTGTTCCCCCAAGCTTTGTTTACAGTCTGGCATGAAAGAAGTTCCTTTCTTTAGTAATTTCAGTATGGAACCCTCTTCACTTGATTACCTTACATTAGAGTTACTGGCACATGAGAAAATTCATGTGATGGGGACTAGAACTGGTCCAGGGTGTTAGTTTTATGGCTCATTCTTGAAATACTGCAAAGGCCAAATTGCATTTTGTGAGTCTTCCTGGATTTAAAAGCTCTTCAAATCTAGGCACAGAAGACTTAGAGTGATTTTACTGGCCTTGCAGTCATCTCCTGCCCTTCTTTTCTTTGCTGAGATTGGGCCCCTCAGGGAACATGGAAGTAGAGCGATGCCAGGGAGACCAACAGAGACAGTTTTATTCACTTTTTGCATTAAAAAAAACATGAATGCACCTCTCCCCAGATGAGGTGGTGGGAGCAGAGTAGGGCTGCTGTAGCCAGCATCTACAGAAACCTAATGTCACACTGTATGAACCTTAAACAGTTATTCGGCAGAGTAGGATCCTCAAAGCTGCCGGTAGCCATTCTGTGCGCTTGGGAGTGAGGGGTTTTTATAGGCAGACACCAGGACAGTGGAGCACCTAAAGGTTACACAGAGGGTTTGTTGACTGCTTAATAGCATTTGGATGCCTGAGAAGTGCTCCAGTGCATTTATGGATCTTGTTTTCTAGATCCAATTTAAAGAGACTCTTTGAGAGGCCTGAGACGGAGCAAACAGTGGGGCCAGGGACAGAGCTAGGCTCACAGCTATGCATGTCAGCAAACTGTGCTTCTCCAGAGATGCAGGAATTTCCTTTCCCTCGCGCTTCATGTTCTAGATAGCACTTTGTCACTCAGCCTGGAAGCACTCGGTTGTTACAAGCATTTTGTGGTGACCGCTCACTGCATGGCTGCTGTCTTGCAACTCTCTCTGCCCAAGTATCTGGGCTTCTGAGGTCTGCTAGTGACTAATGGCACCAGCCAAATGGCCGTCGGTCTTTGTTGCTGTGAACTTTATGACCGTACAAATGAATGCATTTGGAAACCCTTTATGGTTAAATAGAGTTATATTTCCCCACACGAAGCCAGCAGGGTGCAGATAACTGAGAAGGTGGGAAGGCTTCCTCCCTAGAAGACATAAAGGCCGTGTCTTGCAGCTGCCTCAGCAGTTCCGTTAGTTTAAGGTTACAGCACAAGTGAATATTCGGTTTCTTAAATGTAGGTGTCTACAGTGATTTTAGATATCCTGAGTATTCATGACCTCTGCACAATACTAGCATATAAAACAGGCTGTGCATGAGATCTGTGCCTTTTTGGAGAGGCAGCGGCAGATCAGGGACGAAACCTGAGGGCATTACAACATAGGTGGCTGTGATTAGGCAGCTGACTTCCAGCCAACATGTCTGCAGGCTTGGGGCCATGCTACGCGCTGCAGGACTGATGATAACTGCCTGCTCCAGTAAGACAAAGCAGGGGTTATACAGATACCTGCACCTACTTGCAGTATGCGTAACATTTCACAACAACAAAACTTCTCTACACGTGTGGGACACTAGGAATACAGCAGCCATATTTTCTGCCCTAGGCAAGAAGAGTTCATTTTAGGATTCTCCTTTGATTTTCCATACTTTGTTCTTATGCCACTCTCATAAAATTTGTATTGTTTTTCTTTTCTACAGGAAAAATAAATATCCTAACCAGTAAACAGATCAGGCAGTCAAGCTCAATTCAAAAAAAAAATCTACTGTGGGAAACTCAATAATAATAAAAAGTCCTGAGCCAGAAATGTGGCATTACTTTGAATTATTCAGTTCACACATATCTGTACCACCGACTACTATTGTACAGAAACAGAGCTGTCCCCCTGCACGCTGCATGCCCTGGAGAGCTAGTGCTGCTGTAGTTCATTCTTAGTGCAAAGAGATCTATTTCTGCTGACAGGAAGCCCAAATGCCATGGGGCTACAGAATCCAGAGCCCTGTTAAAATATGGGCTGTCTGAATATCACCCTGTCAGAAGTGGAGCAACGTATAGTTTTCTCTTTGATATTACAGATGACTGGCTGAGGAGTTTGGAGAAAAAATGCTATTGGTAATAATGAAGGAATAGGTGGAAACAGACGCCATACCACTTATTGGTCATTCCTTCATTTCAGCAGTCCCCACATTACCTCCCACAACACAAAGCCAGTTTGGATTTGAGGCAGAAAATACCACCTGGATTCTTGAAATTTCAGTTCACTCTCACTTGACTTTTGCTGCGCTCTGATAAATCAAAGTTTTGAGAGTTCTGAAGCTGGGAACTCGTCCTGTAACTCCCATGCTGTTTCCATTTGAGGGCCTGTAGTGACAGTCCACCAACATGATCTATGGCAGGCACTCTGTTGTCTTGCCATCTACTCAAAACAAAAAGGAATCTGGCAGCTACTTGGGGTTACAGGCTCGAGTATAATTTCCTGTCAGAATGTGTTGTATGGTCACACACTGTGACAAAGGAAAGGAAGGTGGGGAGGCTTGAGATGGTTTCTGTGGCAGGGAATACAACAGTCTTCTACCAGACACTGCTGTCTCCTGCCCAAACCAGATGCTCCTCACTGGGAGAGGCAGCTCGGTTGCTCAAGCAGGAAGGAGGTGAGATTCCAGGTGTCTGAGCAACAGATCCTAAAAAGCTCTGTAGATATGTATCTCCACGTCGTTCTTCACAATATTTCACCATAGGTCTGATGAGTTCACTCCGTTTTCAAAGGGCGAAAGCTTTCATGTCTAAGTAGCTGCCTCTGCTGGGAGATAAGGGGACAACTGGAAATCAAGTGATTGCCTGGAAACTGCAGGTAGAAATAGCCATAGTGGATCAGAGAAAAGAGTCTTTCTCCCC